ACCTACCCAGTATTAAAACGTCATAAATATGACGGCGGTTAGCGGTGCTCCGATTGGGTCCGTTCCTTTGTTTTAGTAGAGGTTTTACCGCGCTCGCAACTACACAAGGGCATGTGAGCGCCAGAAGATTAGAGGTTTTACAAGAGAGTAACAAATGTAAAGAAGAAGGAGGGGATATAAGGACAATTAATGTTCGATTAGAAAGAAGCAAACCACACCAGACCTCCCGCCAACCAACCTCAATCTGTTATTTGTACAGCTGTCTAGTAGCTTGCGTTTGTCCTGTACTGTTGCTTGTAAAAAGTGACCGTTGTTTTGCTTATATGACGTCAGTCCATTTTGTTTGGCGTGTTATTTGAGGGCGCCACTGGTAGGTCTTACTTCTTTACTTTCCCTCTGTGTTGTTTCTGTCTGTGTGGGTGGTTGGGAGTGCCACTGGTAAGTGTTCTAAACTTTAAAATGATAATTTAGAGCTCTGGTGTGCCATTGGGTGTTCATTTCTCGACGTGAGACCAATAAATTGTGTGTTAGTCATCGCTATATTTTCCAAGTGCTTTTTTTTTCATAGCAATGAAACTCCTATTTTTTGGGGGGTGACGTCACTCTAGTATAGCAGCCACCTGCCCCACACAAATCTGTTTTCAGTAGCTTCCATGCCCTGTCAGTTAGACTTTAATTAATCGACTTATTGTTGCAACAATACCCGAAAAGGCGTTCCACATTTTATTTCAACATCACGAAAGAACCCCCCCTCCCCCCCCCCCCAAAAAGGGGGGGGGGGGGGGGAGAAAAGAAGAGAAAAAAAGAACAATCGCTTTGGGAAATCAGAACAGTCTACGCATTGTATTGTCATGTCGTATCAATCAAAAAAGTCCCACACTACTTAGGTCATCAGTGAACCCCAGTAATTGCACAAGTCACGGTCCCAGCGCGAAAAACTCTTTACTCTTTATCTACAATAAAACATTCGTGCATTTAGAACACTTTTGAATTGCAGCCGCAAGTGTTCCCCTAGTGATTAAGAGATCTGGATAAGAGATAATGTCAATCGCTTCTTTTTTGTGTGTTTTTTTAACGCTAATCAGCCATTGTGCGGGTTTATTGGTTTGGGGAAAAGGTTCTTCTTGTTTTTCTTTTTCGCTGTCATGGTCGCTCGAGTGTTATCTGGGTGTTGACAGTTTCGATCATGTTTGGAGGTTTTAATTGTAGAAATTGACTGATTAGATGGGACCAAGACGAGCTGTCATGTGGCTCGGAGCAGATGTTGGCAGTATTTTCCTACTGGGTGGATGGGTGGTTATTGATTTGCTGTGAAAAAATGGACACACCGTCGTGTTATCGTTGCAATTGACATTACAAGGGAATAAATATATATATATATATATATATATATATATATATATATATATATATATATATATATATATATATATATATATATATATATCTATCTTTATCTCTCCTCCTTCTTTTTTGTGTTTGTTTCTCCCTTGTAACACTTCTAATCTTCTGGCGCTCATATGACCTTATGCTGTTGCGAGCGCCGTAAAACCTCTACTAAAACTAAAACTAAAAGGAGAACAGGCATCATTGCTGGCGGCACAGTGCCATAGATGCTCCTCCCTCCTCTCCAGCATCCATGAAAGGGTGTGCTTATCTCAGACACCTACCCTAAAAAAATATCCCCCCCCCCAAAAAAAAAAAGATATTCGATAAAACTAATTTAGATCCATTTACCCTATCTGAATGTATTCCGTCTAAATCAGCTATGGAGTCGGACGTTTTTACGAGTCATAGATTCTTTCTATATCAAAACATTGTGTGGCGTCGGGGGTCTAGTGGTTAGGTTCCTAGACTCGCAACCATAAGGTCGTGGGTTCGCACTGAGTGGTGTAGTTCATCACAATAGCCAGGATCCCGTCAGGAGCCCGAGGTTTGGTCCTTGGGAAAGGCACTTCACACGAATTTTCCTCACTTCACCCGAGTGAGAATGGGTACCCAGCTATAGACTGAAAGATCTTATCCGTTTGGTGGTGTTTGAGCTTTTAATCAGCTGCTTGCACTGTATGCTTCCCGGGAAACTGAGAATGACTCTGAGTGTGCCATGGTCTGCTGGGGTAATACTGTAAGACGCATAGAGTTTGCTGTGGAGCGGGGTTATGCGCTGTACAAATTCTATTTATCATTATTATTATTGTTATTATTATTATTATTATTATTATTATTATTATTATTATTATTATTATTATTATTATTACATTATTATTATTATTATTATTATTATTATTATTATTATTATTATTATTATTATTATTATTATTATTATTATCATCTCTGAATGAGCGGGTGGTTGGAGGACGCATTGCTAGATATACTACATGCACTCCTTTTCTTTCCCTCCATTATTTCTGTCAGCACATTGCTACCCTGAAACTACAAGGTTCTATCTGCTCACTACCTAGTTTTGAGAAATTTGACGTTAAACATATAGAGTTTCACCAGTCAAATTTTTTCGACTACATTTTTTTAGTATCTTGATAACGACTCTCAGTAGTCTTACAATTTTGACAGAACAGACAGAACATTTTGGTCTCCGACCCCTTGGTCTTAGTAACTCAAAACGGCCAATATTACCAGACAGAACTTTGTAATTCGAAGGTAGCGATATATTGTCGGTTCCCTGCGGTAAATAGCCATCATTGAGTCGGTGTGCTTTTGCGTATTCGAAAAAAAAAGTCAAACCAATTTTTCTAAAAAGATCTTTGAAAGATGCATGTATCTACGAGGTCAATAAATTCTGCTGTCGTAGCCTATTGAACGAACGTGTTAAAGAGTTCTATGTGATATGCAAATTGTGCCATTGTACGTCACAACCATTTTAGCTAAACTTAGTGCACACTGCGGCGTGCCTGGGTCATATCATTGGGTTCACGCGTGTTACGGTAGGCGGACAGCTGCTGGTGACCCGAGAGATAACGAAACTGGACGTCATCAGATACCACGGCGTAGTAACAAAGATTCTCCACTTGCACACGTACGTGCGGGTCATCGTGATATACGTACGTGGACAAAGACAGCGCAATCAGTTCTCTTTCTCTCTGAGTAAGCAAGTTTGGAGAAAGAGAAAGGGGAGGGGAGGGAGAGAGAGGGAGGGGAGATGCTGGAGGATGGGGGAGGGAGAGATAAGGAGAGAAAGGCGTTTTTGTGTTTGCTACTCGTTTGTCACACCTCTAAATCTTCGGCACTTATTTGACCTTATTGTGTTGCAAGTGCCGTAAAACTAAAACCTTTGCTTAAAGATAAGAAGGTAAAATATATCTTTATTGTCCAGATCCTGGTACATTGGTTTAGTGTTTCACACGCACACACATACACACTCACTCACACACACACACACACGCAGTATGCCTGCCCTCACAAACAGGCTCACAGTCACATGCATAATATAAATGAACAAAGATAAACGATAACAACTCAGCATTTTGATTGTAACTTTATGGTATTCTGGTGCATGCTCTAAGGTCATAATATGAAAAAACAACCCAACTCATCGAGACTATAGTATTCTAGATCTGTGGCTGGTTGGCGGGGTGCTCTGGTGTGGTTTGCTTCTTCTTCCCAATCAAACATCTATCGTCCTTATCTCCCCTTCCTTGCAGACGGCGGCCCCTACATCTCCGGCGACCACCACGCCGAAGAAAAACAGCTCCGACTCCAACATCACGACCGTAGCCGGGGACGCCTTGTTCTCCGAGCTGCGCCCGGCCAAGAACCTGAGCGGTATGTCCCTGCCGGCTCACAACTTCGGCTGTGACCACATCATCACCACGTACCTCGTGCCCAACCTCCTGCACTTTATGGCCTACATCATGGGGCTGTACTACTTCCGGATCCAGGAGAATGAGCAGCTCTATGCTCTCATGGAGAAGGTGTGTGTGTGTGTGTGTGTGTGTTATTGTGTGTGTGTGTATGGGTGTATGTGTGTGTGTATGTGTGTGTGTGTGGGGGGGGGGAGTGTTGTTGGACTTGTGGTGGTTGATGGTGTTTTTTTTTAAAGTGTGAAGAACATGCGGATAAGGAAAGACCCATACAACCCGACATGCATTATAAATGATAAAGATGGAAACACCATTCTCGGCAAACATGCAATCTAGAAAAGATGGGAAAATTACTTCCAAGAACTGCTCAACCCAGACGCTTGCCACGGACAACAATTAGAGTTCCAACCATCCTGTGG